CCCTACTCTGATGATGATGAACAATTCTTATGTGTACCTACAACTAAATATGTATCACAAATCAGAAACAAAAAAAATAATAAAAAAACAACCGAAAACCAAAATCGATTTTCTTTCTCACGTTGTCTGAGTTGCTTTATCCTCTCACTCGGGATTCGGACCAGGTGAAAATTGAATTTTTATTCTCGTAACGTAAACTAGAGTTTTCCGGGTCGGGTATTCTTCGAGTTTAAGTACGGTCTTTTCATCGAAAAACCCGAGTACGGTCTTTTCATAAAACCCGCCGGGTNAAACAACCGAAAACCAAAATCGATTTTTTTTTCTCTCGTTGTCTGAGTTGCTTTATCCTCTCACTCGGGATTCGGACCAGGTGAAAATTGAATTTTTATTCTCGTAACGTAAACAAGCACGCGGTGCCATTTATGGTTATTATGCTTATGTCATGTGGCAGGCACTTAAATGCTTAAACTATTGAAGTCAAAATAAAAAAGGCTTGTAAAATGATATCTTAACATTTTTTCGTGTTTGTGCAGTGGATGAAAATACTTCCAATTACGATGATGATGATACAAGCGATTGTGTTAATTTGTAAGTGCTGATAACCAATAGTTGCAATAATCAATAGAAAAATACTCGATTGATAAATTTTTATCAATGAATCTTGGATTGTTTTGCTTCTCATACGCTTCATTTTATTAACAGTAGTCGGATTGTTAACAATAAATATCGAAATATGTATAAAAAATAAACATTATACAAGTTGATAGATTAACGATTCAATGCATCATTACATTGCATCATCTATAAGATAAATAATGATTGACGTAGTTTATTAGTTTACATTTATTTTAATATTTTAATCTACACATGTCGAAATAATCAACAATTAATTATCTATGAGACGAGGATTTACTTTTCGTGATTCACTCGTAAAAATATCAAAAACTTTATGAGATTAAATACCCAAATAATCACAGATGAATTACGACACAATGACGTTCCTCAATTGTCGCTTTCGTCGTTTCAATCTTTCACACTTGCTGCATTCGCCTGTGAAACATTTTTCATGATAACATGAACCGCATTTGAAACATCGTTTGATCCTATTCTGCCAAGGAAAAATGACGTCTCGTTTATTTGGACAAAGCTCACAAAAGAAACCGCGAGCAATGCAAAGCTATAAATAAAAAGAAAATTAAACTTTTGCGAGATTTTAAAAATAATTTTCTGTAAATACCTCGCAGTTGTCTTTCAAAATATGTTCCTCTAATCGTTTTATTATCTCTTGAATTCTCTCAGTGAAAATATTGTTTCGGATGTCAACAAAGTCCATCATACTCCAAATGTCAGCATCGTCGGTCCAATGAACTGGAATCTCCTTAAAGAATTCTTTCTCCTTATCCGTAAATCGACATTGTTCGATAAAATCTTGTAGGAATTTCAACTTCAGTCTTGCTTCACGTGCTTTCGCCAATGGTTTCGAAATCTCATACAACCGCGGCTTTATATCGGCAATGTGAAAAAGTGGAAAGTTCCAAATCTGATTCAATAATTTGTAAGCAAAATTGCTAACAGGATAAAGTGAGAAATCCCATTTGTCAAGCACTCTTGCTGGAATCGTACTAATTTGATTCTTATGGCATGCTGAACAGAAATACTTTCCAAGGTAATCACAAAAACGAAATGTGTGAACTAAAGTCGGCAAAACTCTCATTCCACAACCAGCACAACGATACAATTGTAGAAGCATTTGCTTCTTACGATCAGGTGTTGGATGAACAGTGAAAATAATTTGTTGGCGAGGCGGCGCCCAATCTTTTGAGCCACGAATGAATGTTGTGTGTTGTATGAGATCGTCCGGATTGACATGAAAACTGAACGAATCAGGGAACGGCAATAATTGTTGAGGTGCTTGAGATTCATTGACAAGCCAAAGCAAAGTGCTTGGATTTGGAAGACGTTCACGTTTGAATCTTGACATGAGAGTTCTTGCGATGCTTTCTGCTGATGATGGATCGTCTAAAGTGTTCCATTCCATATGCGGAGTATTCTCATCGGTTTCTTCTGAACTTGTCGAACATGTGCGAGATTTTTCGTGAAAATCGTCATTTGACAAACTCGATTCGCTGTCATCTTCAACAGATCCGATGATAAATTTTGCAACATTGTTTTGATTCATTGTCGAAGGAAGTTGGCGTTTCGGAGTGCTCGATAAATCTTCTTTTGCTTTCGAATCTTTTGAAGTTTTATACTTTTCATCGTGCATTTTATTCCACTTTAAGTGTTGTGATGTCGCAATGATCGCTTCCGAAAGATGGAAATGAGCATTTTCACGATCCAATGCAACTTTTGGTTTTGAGCTACTGTTAATCATTTGGAGGAAATATTCCAGATTCTGTCGACTTGTTTTTCTGTTATTTCTTACATTTTGAAACGATTTAACGATCGGCGATTCAACAGAAATTTTTGATCCTGAAACAACATCAGCACTGAAGAAAACCTCGCTTGGACTGACGCTCATGCTAGGCGTTGATTGATGGCGTGTCTTGTGACCAGCGACTGTTGGTGTACCTTCAAGAAAACTGAACACTGAAAGCTTTTTCTTGGCTTCTTTTGGTGGTGTGAAATTCTCAATGGTCTTTCTGAAGTCAGACGATGAACGATAATCTGTGTGGATTTCGATGTCATCAACTTTGAGGACATTAATTGGCACTTCAGGTTGAAGATCAGGTACAGGTAAATGATTGAGCATATTATTTGTGTCTGCAGAATAGCCACGATATGCAAAATAAGGCACGTCCTCTTTATTAAGAACTGTTAAAGCTTCCACAGCTGAATCATCTTCGTATTTTGTTTCCTTTTTAAACGAAACTTTTTTATGAAATGTGTGATTGTTTTGGTCCACTAAATTCATCGTTTTACTTCGAAGACGACCTGAATGTGACGATGATTCGTGATGTAAATTTGGCACACTATACCAAGGCCGAAGATTTGATAATTTCACTTTCGAACCGGTTATTAAATCCAAAGTCTTTTTCGATGCTTTCCTTCCACTCGCTAGGATGGATTTTTGAGAACTGAGCGACACAATTGGATGTGATGATGTTCTACGATGACCTGAACTAGAAGTAGGACTTTTCTCAAAGAGAGTTGCATCGATTTTCGCCAACTGACTCAACTGATTTGCCTCGATCGCTGAGATACAAATCATAAGAGCATTCTGACGACCTTCATCTCTGAGAAATGCAGACGACTCGTAACAATTTTTAATGTGGGATGTGTCAGAGAATATGAATGAAAGATGATTGGAAAGTTTTCCCTTATCGATGTTCTCGATTAGCCATAATCTGAATACTTTCTTATGACACGATAATGATTGTTGACTGAAATTCTTGAAAATGCCAAAGACACGCCGAATATTAGGAATCCCCTAAAATGGAGCCAAACAACAAATCAAAAGATTAAATTATGTTTGTTTATGTCTAGAATTTTAAACATGTCAAACTGATTACAGAAACTCTTATTACGTTCTTTAAAAATGACTCATGGATGATTACTCATATTTATATATTTAATTATTGAATTTAAAACTTGAACTCCTTTCTTATTTACTTACATGCTTATCGAGACGTAATCCATTATAAAAAATGCCCTCGAGGGCCTCCGATAAGCCTTGAATTTCTTTATTTGTTATAAAAGTTTCTGCACATTTTATTAAATTTTTTAGCAGGTTCGTTGTAGAAATTTCACTTGAAATCAACTTCAAGCTATATTCTTTTATCATAAATTTACTCTTTTCCATTTCTTTTGAAAGTTGAATATCGAAAATGATGTTTTTTATTAAAAAGTTTCATCACGAAATTTTCTTATTCACTCCAACATTTAGCTTTCTTTGTTTTTTCACATTATGGAGAAGCTGTCATAAGATTTTTATTTTCGTATATTCGCAAACTTTTAATTATTTACTCATTATTCTTCTTATTAATATTGATATTTAAATCTGAAACATTCTAATTACAAAGAGCGTTCAACTTTTGTTCTTCATCAAGGCTTTTTAAAGCAAATGATTTGTGTTTGAGAGGTTTTTTAAAAAAATTGTTTTTTGATCGTAGTTTACCAATAAATTTTATTCGCTATATGCGACTTATTCAGAGCGACAGCGTATTGAGGGGTATCAAAGTATATTTTCCAAGTAAACTCCTAAAAATATTTAATCGACATAATTAATGTTTTTATTTCTCTCATTAATAATAAGGCAAAATTGAGTTTAAAAAAGTAATTGTAAAGTGAATGATAATCGAAAGTAGGTAAGTGTAACTAAATCTCATAGGAAAATATCTTGTGAATAAGTTTATAATGAAAATATGGGTGTATTGTTAGAAAATATTGAGATTTTGCTCGAGCAACTTGATAAATTATATTGAAACGAAATTCAAGCAAATATTTAGTAAGTCACAGTGTACTAATAATATGCGCTTGGCATATATTTGACGCTTGACATAATTTCATGAGCTAATTTGCATTTGTTTTATTTTGCCGAAAAGCTCATATTAAATAGAGAGAATTCCACACTTATTATGAATCACTGTACATTACGACCTTTTTATCAGTAGAATGACTAAACAAACTTTAAATGTTTGAATAGTCGGAAACACTATTGATAGTTTTTATAAATATCCGGATTGATATCCTATTCAAAGAAGGGTATTGGCTAATTTAGTTTCTATGCAGTGGTTGATGTTGTCATTTTATGAGTCAAAACAAGAAATTTATTCAAATGTTAGCATGAAATTATATTCTATTCCATGAAATTAAACACAAATTCGAAGAAATATTTGATCAATTATTGGTTTACGCAATAGCTGTAACTAACGCTTGCCAAATTTTTATCAGCACAATGAAGTATTTAGATAGATAAATACGAAAAGATTCTTCAAAAATTCATATCCAACAACCAACTTTCCAGAAAATTTAAACCATTTTCTAACAATGAAAAGAATCATAAAAGCTACTGAAAAGAAAATTTCAATTCCCGCAAATCATGTAGCCTCGAAAAAATTCCCCCAGTCCCCAACCAACGGCCTTCATTCTAGACAATGGTGAATCTTTATGTTGTATTAATTTCCTCAGTTTTTTCTCTTCGTTTTTTTTCGTATGAATCATTTCTTTTATAATAGATGCGACTTTAACGTAAACATTGAAAAGTTAAATCAAAAAAAAATTCACACATAAAAATATTGAAATCCGCAATTATTTGGAAACTGAAAAATTATCCATCATAAACAAAAAAATGGCAGGGTGGTCGTTATTTAAAAGATATGATCGCTAGGTAGATTAAAAAACCACCAAAATTTTATATTTCTTTTCATGATACTAAAATTGTTTTTACGTAGATATCCTGGGAGGTAAGGGTTCACCTTGTTATGTACATAAATTAATAAAAGTACTGCTAGAGATCTTTTTGCGATATGGTTTGACTTCACTATTTAACTTCTTTTTGTTCCAAACGTGGTAGTTTTTAACTAAGTTTGAAATGAAAAAAGGAGAATAATTCAGAAAACTTCCCCCTCTGAAGCAGTTTGCTTTAATTTTTCTTGGTAGTTAAGAATTTAATGGCTGTTTGTCATTGAACAAAAACATGACCAATATTCTCGTAACACCTTTGTAGAACGCGCTTCTTTATTCTTTAAATAAAAAGATTATAAATATCATTGCATTTGGGGCCAAAGTTGGATCGATGATTTGAACAATTTGTTCAATATTTAATAATAAAAGAAATTAATGTTTCAAAATTTAAATCTTTATAGGTAATTGACCTTTGATAACTTTACGTTTGCTCTGTTTGGAAGGAAAGAAAGTACGATAAGAAGAGAATGTCGAAGAAAGTAAATTCCAGTGTAGGTGCGGCTTTACATAAAGTCATAATGGTTGGGTCAGGAGGTGTTGGCAAAAGTGCCGTAAGTTTTGTTGTAATTAAAATGAACTTCAAATCCATATAATGCTCCATGTCCTTGCAGTTAACACTTCAGTTTATGTACGATGAATTTGTTGAGGATTATGAACCCACGAAAGCTGACAGCTACCGAAAAAAGGTAAACAAAAAGCGTGAACAACCCTATCGTGTTGAACTATCATGAAAATCTTCCCTTTCTATATTTTCATAACTATTAAGGTTGTTTTGGATGGTGAAGAAGTACAAATAGATATTCTTGATACGGCTGGTCAAGAAGATTACGCTGCCATTCGCGATAATTATTTTCGTAGTGGTGAAGGATTTCTCTGTGTGTTTTCCATCACAGATGATGAAAGTTTTCAAGCAACTCAAGAGTTTCGGTAATATTTCTTCTCTTTTTTAATTTTTCTTTATTCAACTTTTTATTTTTTTAATTTAGGGAACAAATTCTTCGTGTTAAGAACGACGAGAATATCCCATTTTTGTTAGTAGGTAACAAATGTGACCTGAATGACAAACGTAAAGTTCCATTATCAGAATGCCAGTTGCGAGCTCAGCAATGGGGTGGTGTACCTTATGTTGAAACTTCAGCTAAAACTCGTGAGAATGTTGACAAGGTAAAGTAATAAATAATTTACACTTTCATGTGCTTATTTTTAAACTTTTCTTCCTCAGGTGTTCTTTGATTTGATGCGTGAAATTCGATCACGAAAGACCGAAGATTCTTCAAAATCAAGTAGTCGTACAAAAGACAAATCCAAACGAAGAAAGCTTAAATGTACACTGCTATAAGTAAAAGACAAATTTAAGCAGTTGCATCGTAAAATTTACTTTAAGTATCTAAGCCATCTATTGGTGTTATTAACAATTCGGTGTGTAAATTGTATGTTTTCCTTATCATGAAATCTTTTAGAGGAAATGTTCATAAGTTTAAGAAGCTTATTTGGATATTACGACACTCACAATTTGTTTGTCTTTAAGAAATCAGTTGTTGAAAGCTTAAACTTTATTTAAGACTACCTATTTCAAATTAATTCAGATGAGAATATTCAATGAGACATTTAAAAACTCAATTTATTTACTTTTCACTGTACATTTACATTTATTTAACGTTTATCTAGCATTTACATTTATTTATCTATTTAGATGAAATTAAATTTATAATTCTTTTCTGTTCTTATTTGAATTGTTTGAAATTCATTGAGTTATTGCAACTGTTAAGAAAAAAAAGAGATTAAAAATTTGGAATGATCAAGAACAGATTGCATAGATAAGTTAATTAATAGGTAATTAAGATGAATAGCGATTATGATTTTAAAACACTTTCTATCTCACAACTCTTGATACAACAATAAGATGAAAAGTAATAACAGAAGATTCAAAGAACACTTCAGGTTATTTTTTCATATATGTAGCTTTTAATATGACCGAGTTATGACATACAAGCAGCAACCCAACAAACAATAAACCAGAAATTTCTTTTCTCTTCTTTTCAAATTACAAATAAATTGCAATTACAGATAAAAATAATGAAAATTTCACTCACTTCACTTAATCAATCAATAATCAGATTTCTTTCTA